CGCTCCTGGGACGTGCGCGTGGCGGGGGAAGGTTCGCGCGACTCGATACTCACGCTCCTGGCGCCGGTGGTGTGGCGTCCCTCCTCGACGGTCCTCCGTGGGAGCAGGGGAAGGGTCCTCCTCCTCGCCGGTCGTCCTCCTAGGTGTTGGCGGTGGCGGCTTCCAGGCAGGGTGTCCTCACTCGCGGGTCGCGGTGCGCGAGGTACTGAGTCGCGGTTCGCGAATTTCCGAGTCGCGGTCCTCCTCCGGGAGGGACGATGCACTGATTCTTGGGATCGTACGCAGGGCTAATCCCGGCGGCACTGCAATGCCGGGCTAACCCGCAGCAGAGGTGGAGCGAGCTCCTACCTCCGCAAAGTCTCAAAAATCAGGCTTACACTCTGGACCCCCCTGTGGAGGGTCTATCAGATATCAAGCTGATAAGAACAGGCACTACACTTTGATCTTAGCCGGAGAGGCCGAGAAGCGATCCAGATTTGATATTTAAGACGCTTTTTGTGCTCTGAAAATATCAATTTTACTAACGAGAAACTTTCGTTTCTCTGGACGCCCCCTGGCCTGAGCGCCGGTTGCGACCAATCAGCAATCGCGCCGCCATTTTTCGCAGGTCAGTATGCGCAGACTGTACTATTGCATTAAGAGATGAAGTATAGTTAATAATTTATAACGTCGAAAAATTATTAGAAGAATAATATTAGATGAAATTTCGTTCGGCATTAGTTTAACACAATACGATTGCGGCCAATCGCGCGTACGTCATTATCGGCAGGTCAGTATACGCTCGCGCAGTACACAATTGCATTTGAAAAAAACGTATAAATCAAAAAAAGAAAAAACAATTAAAGAACAATTAAACAACGTTCAAAAAAATAGTAGAGGGAACGTTCGTTTCTTCGTTTGGCACTAGTTCAACAAAATTTGTGTAGTGTAACTAAACGTCCGGTAGATGGAGAAAACAATGTTTATGGAGTGTTTCAATGTTTTGAGTTCTTTTTATGTGCTTGAGTGTCTGACGAATACAATACGAAAGTTTGATCTATTTCCTTGATGCAGATTACCGGTTATATACATAAAGAATGAAACAAAGGTGTGAAATGTGTAAAAGTTAAAGTAAAAAATTAGAGTATCAGTGGAGTAGTAACTTTTTAATGAATAGACATCATAAATATAGTTCCATTTCAACAAATATGTAGTATAAGAAGACTTGAAAATATTAAGTCAAATCGGGTATTAATTTTGTTAATGTGTTAATTTTGTATTATCTCTTCCAATGACATCATTTGGAATATATGCAAGGCACTTTAATCAATAAATGCAATTATTTCCAGAACTATTTGTTGTTTAAAAATATTGTTTTGTTGAAAAACTTGTTTTGTTTCGAAAGAGTGATAATCCAATGCAATTAATTTGTTTGTAGCTATACGCATGAGTTAACTTTCTTTTTTTAAATGAAATTATATAATTATTCACATATTGCATTCTGATATTCTTTATAAAAGGAAGTAATAACTTAAATGTATGCCGAAAAACTATTCGTTTAGGAGATATTTTAACTTTAGTTTTGTAAAATCAATATATGAAAGACGAGGAGGGACAAGGGAAGTATTCTTGTATTCATACTGTTCTCGTTTTTACAATGGATTTTAATTAAAAATAAAGTTAAAATGACTCTTAAACTAATAATTTTTCAACTTACGTGAGTCGATATTTTCTCATATAGGATACCGAGCTGCCACTGATTCGATTGATCATAAATGGTTAGAATTGTCTATAGTATATACATATTTACAGTATTTACATTTTAGTGCGAGGATGGAGGAAGTGGAATGGAAAAAGATGAGGAAATGTGCGTTTCGTCTCAGAGTCGCTGCCTAGACTCATCAGTGGGGCTGATAGCAGCGACCCCTTACCCCAGACGCTTGTTGTTCTAACTACTCGCTAGGCTGGACGGTCACTTCCCATCCTAGAGCGGTGTTCCGCATTCTGCTTAACATCGAATATCGCGACTTCAGCGCTAGGCGCACAGCCACTTGCGGCTTGTACTGGTGTTCGGTGTTCGAAACTCGTACTCGAGGGACTCTAGGCCGGTACAATCAAATTTGACTATTGTTTCAATGGATCAAAAAGTATATGATTCTTTTTAAAATATTGGAAAGAAAGACGAAATCTCTTATAAAAATCACTTGTTAAAAAAGTACACACATCAGAGAATGCTGTTCTCTAAACCATACAATTTTCGCACAAAATTCTTTCCGTACAACGCAAACTTTGAAAGTTATTCGAGGTGAGCACAGTTCACGCATTATGTTTTTTTACTTATAATTGATCGATCATCAAATAGAGTATAAATCGATCGGTCCGATCCGCTGACTCGTCTCAAGTGGAGAAAGTGGCTTGCCACAACTATATTAAATTATAAACGACAATATATTCCTGTTCTCACAGATATTTTTATTTAAAAAAAACAAATTATGAATAAAACTTTAGAAAAGAGAGAAAATAAAAATTTAAGGGCAAAATATGTTCTATATTAAAAAAGTATACTTAAATAAATATTTGCAAAATATTGGAATCATTTTGAAATGCACTGAGTATTCACTGACATTCAATTCTAACGAAATATCGATTAATAAATATTTAGTAAAAATCCCATTTTTTAGACTTATATCTACAGATTATATTCTTGATTAATTGATTGATAAAACATATCGTTTTTCCAAAAGCAATTTTATCCTTCACACGTTTAAGACGTATGACGAAGCACACTTTACGTGTTTAAAAGCGCAGTGAAAAAAACCAATATAATGATTAAATAATGACATATTGATTTTAAAATGTAATAATGTTTTCTAAAACTTAATCCCAAAAATAAAAAGAAAGTTTTAAATTTATTTCTTCAGATATCGAGGTTGGAAAGTCGATTGAAGTCTGTCTCGAATGTATTACGCAGAATGTCTATCTACAAATTGAAAATTGAAAGTAAAATATAATAGAATAGTATAATAGAATTATGAATTGCAAGTCTCGCATGATGCGTTAAAAAGTTTCAAAAAATTTCTAAATCTTCATTTGCTCTTGCATGTCGATCTATTATTTATTGTTAGGTTCCTATTTCATATTTGTATGTAAGTTCTTATTTATAGTCCATATTTATATACTCCCCATCTTTCAGGAAGACTGTTTCACCGTTGTCGGCTCAAATCAACGAATTCAGCCAATATGTATCGTCGGGTGAGACTGTGGCTTGCCTTAGATAACTATCGCTCAAGTTTCGAAATGTTCGGTTTGCAGTTACAGTCAGCAAACAATCCTAGAGATACACCATGCCGTCAATTGTAAGTATCTTGACACAAATCGATTATAATCAATAAAGGCTCGAACATAATCAATTAAGGCTCGAGTGCTTATACTCTAACACGTTATGAATATCATATGCATGAAAATATTTTTGGATACTGTTTTGAACTTCAACATTTCTTGTCAATAGAGAGAGTGTTAGGAAAGTGGCAAAAGGCAGTTAGCAATGTTTAACAAATAGTAGTATGAATTTACTTTAAACTTAACCTACTCTTTAGAATTACATAAGGCACCTCGAAGACACTTACAGTAGGGGTGTGCGGGTACCCGAAATTTCGGGTTAGGGTCGGGCTCGCACAAAGTCGGGCAGGCTCGGGCGGGTAGCCCGATGATTTCAGATCGAGTTAGAAAAAGTTCAAGAGGAATAGGATCAGAGGTGGGCATTATTCGAATAACATTTCGAATAAATTCCTCGAATAAAATTTCGAATAAATTCTTCGAATAACATTTTATTCGAAATATTTACTGAAATAATGTAAAGAAAAAGAATCAGGAGTCCTTTCTTCACAATTTTGGTTTGGTATTTAATAAATTTGCCTTTAGTACAATTTTGTTCGAACATTTTGTTAGTTAATCTGTTTACTTCAGGCGAGTTTGTTGTCGTTGAAAATGAAAACAAACGTTTTAGTGAAGCAGAAGATGGCGAAGGAGTCTTATATTTCAAAAATATATTTTTAATTATGGGATTTTAATTATGCGTTAGTTTATTTAAACATGAATATGATTTTCAATAAAATGAATATGATTTGCAATAAATTTTGAAATGAATATGATTTGAAATAATTTTCCATTTTACTTTTTGTATTATACTTGAATGAATGTTTATTCAGTATTCCATTTATTTATTCATATAATTTCACAAGTATTTCGTATAATAATATTGTCAAAAAGTAATATTGTTGTAACTTGTTATATTAGATTATTTGTAATTTTATTCGAGAAATCGTATTAACTCAAACAAGAAATTATTTAAAATTGATTCATTTGAATTTAATTCCATGTAAATGAAGTTATTTATTCCCAAAAGTTATCATTATCTCTAAAATAATAGATTAATCGGAATATTCATTATGAATTGTTAGTTTATTTTAATTTATTTGAAGTTAAATTGTTCGTTTATTTTATCTGAAATAAAATGTGTTCAAGCCTGCTCTTAATAAATATAAATATATTTATCTTATTTGACAGATGAATACGAAATATTTTGTGCGAAAATACCACCGCGCACTTTACGATGTGAACACATACACGAATTGTAACGTCACTTTTCTAATATTTCAAATATGAATAAGATATTCTTCTGCTTTTACGAACATTCACATTGGATTGAGCCATTCACTTTTGCTGAAGAGTACTGAAGAGTATAACATATACAGGATTGTGTAATTGACTCGTTAATTAACAACATTAAGCGATATTATTATGTAAATCACCTGAAGTGAGATTACATGCAAGAAAATGATTGGGACTGTTTGAATTTGGGGATCGGAACTTGGTCTGAGCAGTCAAGCTCTTTTGACATATCTTTCTCGTCCGAAGTCTGAAGAGCGACTGCGTTTCGATTGATCAGTTGTCCAGTTATACGACCTCTGTCTTTAAATGTATGAGAAAATATAGAGAATGGTGGAAAAATATAGATTGGTTGCTTTAATCTTTTCATGCATTGCGAAGGTGAACAAATTCATCAACAGTAAAGACAGTACACTAGGAAATATTACATTTACTTCTTTTATTTTTTTTTTTTTTGCTTTTTATTTTTTATTTTTATTAATAAATGATAGATAGATAGATTTATTCCATTTTTACTTTATACATAGTTTAAGAATATATATAACATTTTATCTCCTACGTTACAATTGCACCGTGTGTCTTTGGTAGTTTTTTGGGGGCCCTCGCCCTCTTTTGGGGACCCTGCTCTTTCTTCGTTCACCATGCGTTCTCCTGATTTTCTCTTAATGTTCATCTTGAACTCTCTTATATACTGACATAGGTCCGCCTTTACTTTTCCTCTTAGCTTTCTTAGCCTTCTTCCTTCCTCTAGTTCTTTCCTCTCTCCTTCACCTTATTCTCCAACTCTGCCTTCTTGGCTAATTCTTCTTTTGTTAATCTCTTC